TTAAGCAGCTGAATATGTGACGTGAAGGAGCGACCTTTCTGCAGTGTGCTACCTTGGTCCAGAACAACCATCCTTACGAAGTACACCCCTGCAAACTTCGCAAAATGTTGAGGTTTTGGGCACTACAGTAAAAACCCTGTAGTCAATCCCTAAACCCTAAACCCTTAACCCTAAACCCTTAACCCTAAACCCTAGTCAACAGCCAGGCCACCATATCCGCCATCATTGCGTTGCCTTTTGTTGTCCTTGGCTCACAAACCAGCCAAAAGAAGCACATTCTCCCGGCTCATCCTACGTAGTTGCCACGACGGCTGTCATCGCTATGCTGTGTGCTCGAAATGATCATGATAATGACGACGATGGTGATGATGAGAATGATGATGAGCAATGGGAGGCGGAGTAGTAGTGGAGGAGGAGGCGGGGGAGGAGGACCCTGAGCCCTATAGACCCTAAACCGGCCGGGAGGACGACGAGGATGCGTCGGAGCAAGGACTCGCAAGACGCCGCCGAGGACTGTACAGTATATGAGTGTTTCGCAGATCCATATCCGGACAAGATGGTGAAAGCGTTGGACTACGGCGATCGCCTGGCATACGCTACTACCAAACATCCGGCCCCCAGCGACGAGGAGGCGGAGGGGAATCATCATCATCATCAGCAGCATCATCACCATTATCGCCGTATCGCCAGCATACCAATGCCAGTGCCAACACCATCACCGTCGCTGTCACTACCAGCGTGATCGACAGCCAGCATCATTCATCATCCTACAAACCTGGCTGTGAACATGCATTGTCTGCATCACGCCCTTGGTTCATCTCACTTATCGAAGGTAACATACGTTCAACCGTCGAACTCCAACATAGTGGCGCCAAAGCCGTATCCCACAGCCTCTGTTGCTGCCACAGCAACGCGTTCCTCGTGGCCATACCACGACGAGGCCTGTCGCTTCTGCTCCTCGCCGTCTGCTTGGGCAGACTCAGCTAGGAAGACGTGACGGGCGTTGAGCAACACACTACAATTGCGAATTTCGCTTGCTGGGAGGGGACAAGCGGAACAAAATGCCGATGTCAGTGATGTTTGGCCTCCCTCCTTCTCGGGCTGATGTGACCCTGCCTATTCCCGATGCTCCAACGGGTCAGGTCGAAAGTTTCACTTGTGGCTGCCTGCCTTCCTCTGTTCAGCCTTAAAAGCCTCAACTTAAGTTTTCGTGACGTGGGTCCCGCAAGTGCTCTCACTTGCATCACCAAGTCCATGCTTTGCTGCTATACGTGCGCTGTGTCGAAGTGGTAATAATACAGCGACTATTTCGACTACGACTACTCTACTACTACTGCTACAACTACTACTACTACTACTACTACTACTACTACTACTGCTACTACTACTACTACTACTACTACTGCTACTGCTACTGCTACTGCTACTGCTACTTTTACTACTGCTACTTTTACTAATGCTGCTCCTGCTGCTGCTGTTGCGACGACGACTACTGCGACTACGACTGCAAAAACTACGGCAACTACCCCTAACCCTCCAGGTACCTACTATATAGGGTACTAGAGCCCCGAGGGCCCTCTGTAGTAGGTACCTGGAGGATTAGGGTACTTCGTCTTCTACCACCGCTCCGTCCTGCGGCCATCGCTGAGAACCGGAGCTCGAGCTCGTGCCCCAATTGCCATCGTCCTGGGCACCTGGAGACCGGGTGGACGGCTAAGTGGTTAGGGTTTAGGGTCTATGGTAAAGTTTAGGCCAACATTGGGTTCATAATTTCAAGCTTAAGGGTTTTGACACCTGTATTCCTGCCGCCATCAACAACTTGGCATTGCTGCAGAAAGTCAGCGGTACCACCCCCATGTCTCACAAATAGAGCCAGTGTTTGGGTCCAAATGTGGCATTTGGCGGCTGCGTTGCTTCGTTGTTGCTTGTCCGACAATAAGAAACATGAGAGCAAAATCTTGATCATTGCTACCCCTTTCATTCCACTCAGCAAGTGATTCCATTGCAATGGCAGCGCATTGGAAAACGCCCAAATCGCGATTTTGCTGGCGAGGACGATCTAAACTGTCATTATCCGCTTGTCTCCGGCACATGCGCTTCGGGAACAAATTGCCGATACGAATCAGAGTAGCGGTTCGTTCCCATCCACTGGCAAAGGAGTTGAGCAACCAAAACTGAAATTTCGGCCCATCGTCTCTGAGCGCCGTCGGCATGACGGTAGAACAAATCATGGCAGTTTCGGCACAAGGAGGCCAATTAGTGCGATTACAGAGCTCCGCCGGACGGACAAGATTTTCTTATAGTTCAGCGAAACGATGACAATCCCGACTGACATGCTGAATGGGGCTGTCATCGTTAAGGCAATACTGGCATGGGGTGTTGGTTTTATCAGCATGTGACAAAATCTTTGTAATGTGGTCAGTTCTCTAAATTAGGGTCCCTTTTTAGATCCCCAATATAGTACGGCAGCCTTATAAAAGGACCCCTAAAGGGACCCTAATTTAGAGAACTACCCATGTAGCATGAGCATCAGCGTCCGAGAGCGAATGACGGGATTACGATACGCGAAGAAGGCCCGAGCCCTCGCAACAGTTTAGGCATAAAGTTGCATAAACGTCAGTATGAGCTCTAATCCCTTAACCCCTAAACCCGAAACCCATGAGCAATTCCTTGCCAGTTTTGCGTAGTTTTTGCTCCAGATACACATGAAAATGTCTACGGGTTTGCTCGCGAATAAACTGCTCAATATCTTTGTCAGGTTGGGCAAACAAGATACATTCATTGTCGCCATCTGCCTCATGCAATATCTCTCTGAAAGACCGTCAAAGGAGCAATCAGACCCTGTTTGGGAGACACGGATTGCTCCAGCATATCCTTAAGATGCTGTGCCAACCAAGAGGTCATCTCCGAAATCTCATGTTTTGATTCGCCATGGCAGTTTCAGGATCGAAAAGGCGCGTCTGTTCGCAAAATACACTGTGTGCCATTTGTGGTCCATTTGTGAGTTCGTGGGACGTGCAGCAGGACAAGGATTACAAATGGAAGGCACAATTCTGCGTGCAACAAAGGTGATGAGTGATGACATTGTCATGCGTAATGTGCCATCTGGCAATTTTGTTCCGGACAACGCAACATGTTTGCAAGATTGGCTTGTAGAATTCAGACGCAGTAGCCAATATTTTTCAGGGGAAGCGACACTCCTAAATACTCAATCTGTTTGGCCATCTAATTTCACGAGCATCCAGCCACCACAGACTATCGGACTCTAGTTTATTAGGGTTTAGGGTTTAGGGTTTAGGGTTTAGGGTTTAGGGGTTTAGGGTTTAGAGTTCCAAAGGCGACAGTCTTGGCTTGTGTTTGAACTGTAACGGGCTCTAGCAGCTTTGATTGCTGCTTCTTAACATCAAGCGGTCATCAACAAAAAACTTTCGCAAGTATTTTATCACGAGGAATTTCCCTGTTCCATTCGCCGAGCATAGCCGCCGCATCTGAGTGGGTCACCTTGAGGTATAGCTAGAGCAGATTTGAATCGCTCTTAGAAACGGACCCACTTAGGGCTGCGATCTATTCATTTGTCTAATCATAAAATGCCAGGTGGTAACGACCGAGTAAGGAAGCCCAACACAAAGTAAAAGTTACCGGGCTTTGTCGATGGGCAGGCACATTATCAAAAAAATCAGTGTCAATGGCGACTCCCCGCAGGTTGCCAGGATGAATGGGGTCAAGACGCCACGTTGCCACATTAGCACAGCCGGCCCAATGATACCCCCAAAGTGCTCCGGAATATCTTGCTGAAAGTCATTGTGTAGTACCAAGACCGTTTATTAGGGCTTTAGGGTATATTTTACTAATATACTTATCATAACTTATAGTAAGGAACCCCTAAAATAGTATCGGTATATAATCCTCTAAGCCCCTATGGTATACTTGCAAGGAGAGTACGCGGTCAAGCTGGTCAGGGAGCGTCGTGCATGAGGCACGCCACAGGCGCAACGGCAGGCTCGCAGCCAAGCCAATGGAAAAGGATTCGGTTTCAGCACTCACAACTAATCAAGCGGGCGAGGATCCAAGTACCAGAACGATAGCTAAAAGGAATCGGTTTAGGGTCCAGGGTCTAACTGGGGCTCTGAAAGTTCATCCCCAGGCCAGTCAAAGCACTTCACTCGTCGCCCAGCAAGCAGCTAAACCCAATCTCCAAAATCCCAAGGTCAACTTAAACCCAATGCCCCCAAAACTCCACGACCTGAAGGCTTCAAACCTTCAAAGCCACCCTCGAATGCCCCTATGAAACATAGAACAAAGGATCAGGGTTTAGGGTTTAGGGCGGATCACCGTACCGAAAGCACAGAGCCAGATAAAACCTGTCTAACTCATCAGAGATGGAATCGGGGGCCCGAATACACACCCAGACGACTAACAAGCACCCCATTCTGGGAAGCCACCAAACAAATCGTAAATTTGTAGAGGTCAGAATAACGAACCATAATTTACCCATTACAGTCTCAATTAAATTCAAAACCCCCAAAACCTTAATTGAATCTCTTGTAGAATTCTAACAAAAAGCGTTCGTCGAATGATTAGAGCCCCTCTCTCCAGAACCCCCCTGATGATAACTCAAAGAACGTTTGCTTCAAAACCTCTGAAAGAACTCATAGAACCCCCTTTATAACTCATTGAACCCTTGCTCTAAAACCTCTAGAATAAGGAACCCCTTACACCCAAAACCCTAAACCCTAGACCCTAAACCCTAAGAGAGGGGGGACTGTTGTGGCGTGGGAAGAGAAGCATGATTTACTACGAAAAACTACGGCATTGTACACGCCACAACAGTCCTTTCTGAACCTGAATGAAACTAATGAAACCTTTAAACTCCTAAATCCTAAACCCCTAAATCTTAATCCCTAAGCCCTGAACCCCAAAGTCCTAAACCCTAAACCCCGAAGTCCTAGAGCCTAGACCCTAAACCCTAAATGCTCCAAAGAAATCTCACCGCAGAGGGCCTCCCCAAGAATCCTGGGACTGCGCAGGCGACTGCCACGTCCTCAGCAGCCCAAAAGGTTTATATAGGGATTACGAGATAGGGGTATAGGGTTTAGGGATTGAGATTTAGGGGTTTAGGGTTAAGGATTTAGGGGTTTAGGGTTTAGGATTTAGGGGTTTATGGTTTAGGGATTAAGATTTAGGGGTTTGGGGTGCAGGATTTAGGGGTTTAGGGTTTAGGGTTTGGTTTAGGGTTTAGGGATTAGGATTTAAGGGTTTAGAGTTTAGGACTTAGGGGTTTAGGGATTAAGATTTAGGGGTTCAGGGTTCACGGTTTACGGGTTTAGGGTTTAGGGATTAGGATTTAGGGGTTTGGGGTTTAGGGATTAGGATTAAGGGGTTCAGGGTTTAGGGTTTAAGGGTTTGGGGTTTAGGGATTAGGGGTTTAGGGTTTAGGGATTAGAATTTAGGGGTTTAGGGTTTAGGGTTTAGGGATTAGGGTTAAGGGGTTTAGAGTTTAGGACTTAGGGGTTTAGGGATTAGGGATTAAGATTTAGGGGTTCAGGGTTTAGGGTTTAGGGGTTTAGGGTTCAGGGATTTAAGATTTAGGGGTTTAGGTTTAATTAAGGATTTAGGGGTTTCGGGTTTAGGGATTAGGATTTAGGGGTTTGGGGTTTAGGGTTTAGGGATTAGGATTTAGGGATTAAGATTTCGGGGTTAGTTTAGGATTTGAAGTTTAAGGTTTCAGGGCATTGGGGCTTCAAGGCTTTAAGCGCCTTGAGGGTTTAGGGCTTGGGGATTTCTCGCTTCTAGGGTGTACTGCCAGGTGAAGGGTTCAGGCTTTAGGGCTTTTGGGATTTCGGGATTTAGGGTTCAGGGCTTTCAGGCTATAGGCTAGAACCTTAAAGCCCTGAACCCTAAATCCTGAATTCCCAAGAGCCCTAAATCCTAAACCCTACACCTGTTATAGGGTTGCCAAGGGCTTAGTTTAAGCTCTCGCAACTGGGACTCTCCCAGACGAGGTTTCTCGGTTCACCACGGGCGTAGTGCAGGGTTCAAGGCTTCAAGGTTTAGGATTTTGAGGATTTAAGGTCTTAGGGTTGTAAACGATATCGATCTTTTGGGCATAAAGGCTGGTAGGTTTTATGGACATGTTTGGAGCTTGTTTGGCTTCAGAGTGGCAGATTTAGATTAATAGCGCGAAGATATGCGTGACTGATTCGGGCTGTTGGGGCTCTCACCTGGACCGCACCAAGCGAGTCTGCAGGGTCGGAAAGCCACAACAAGCAGCAGCACGTACTTACATTGAAGCACCTGGCCACACTCCTTTTGGAACGGCCGCAATATAAAACAAGTCTACTGCTCAGATTCAACTAAACCAAGGCAGGGGGCACTCCTTCCTGTCTTGCGCCCGAGGTCTGCACGCCACGCATCAGTCATAAGGGTTCAGGGTTTAGGGCCCACAATTTGCAGCCTCGAGCTGGCGACAACTTCGCATGTTGAATGGCTAACAACCCCCCCCCCCACCCCCCCAAAGTGTTCCTTGCAGGCTAGACAGTCTGCGATGAACGCACACAATGACATCCGATAATTTAGCAAGACGAGGTACTAACAGTGGCTATAGCACTACTATCATCACTGGCACTACTGCTACTGCTAATAATGCTAGTACAACTAGTTGAGTACTATTACTATATCATTAGATCTTGATGGTGGTGGTTCTCCGAAGTTGACACGGAGCCCGGCAAAGCTGAGCTCTAAACTGCTTCTTGTTGCCGCCTCCACCACCCCAGCTCTTCCTCGGCCGTCAGGGTTTGGCATGTTCGGCGATCGGGTTTTGTCGGAGCTGGTTTGGGGTTTAGGGTTTAGGGTTGCCGGTGAGGAAGTTGAAAGGGGTTTGGTGCTGTTTGATCCTGGGCAGGTGCTTCGATGACACTTAGGTTGGACGATAGCGCTCGGATGTCTACAACTCGGATTGTTCATCATTCACCACAGGCCTCGGGTTGCAGGTCGTCCATGCCAAAACCCTAAACCCCTTTTTTGAACCCAGACTCTGCCGATCAGCTGGGAAGCAGCACGTCCAAACTATTGCATATGGGAAGTCGCGCGCCAAAAACCCTAAACCCTAAACCCCAAATTCAGCACCAAGCCGAGTCCCACCCCCCAAAACCCTCAAACTACAAGTTCTCCACAGCCTGAAAGCCCAAAGCCTATCTGCCCGGCAAGCCTAGAGCCTAGAAGCCACGGTTTAGGATTTAGGGTTTAGGGCTAAAACCCAAAGGTTCAGCTCTGAGCAGAACTGAGTGCTGTTCCAAGGACACGTTTCCTCACTTTTCCATGCTGTATAATGGGGTGGATTCTGTAGAGGTTGTTGGTTTGGGTTTGGGGCTTTAGTGTTCGAAGTTCACAGTTCAACCTACAGTCCACGCGAATCGGCAAGCACTTCTGAAAGTCTAAGTCTGGGTCGACGGGGGCTTGGCGCGCCTTGAAGGTGCAGATTCAACCTTTTACTGGCTGGGCAGTCCACCAACGCGCCTGTTTTACATGTCAAAGGGAATCCGAACACACCTGATCAGTCCCTAAACCCTAAACCCTAAACCCTAAACCCGATGCAGATCCTTTTGGAAGTCTCACTCCGAGCCTCCCAAGCTCCAGATGCTGAGCCGGGTTTAGGGTTTAGGGTTTAGGGTTTAGGGACTTAAAAGCGATCCGGATCGTCTTGCATCTGGCGCCCTAAACTCTTAACTGGAACACTGAAGCCCTAAAACCCCAAACCCTTGAAAACAAGGACCCCTAAACCCTTTTTCACAAGGGACTCGTCTGCTGCCCTTACTGGCCAGCTTGACCCACAAGACTGCACTCATTACCCCTAAACCGTACCCTGAACTCCTAAAACTCCAGACCCCTAAATCCCTAAACCCTAAAGCCCTAGACCCCTGAACCCTAAAACCCTAGACCTCTAAACCCTAAACCCCTTTCTTTGCATCCGTACTGATTAAGTTTAGGACGGAAAGATGGCTGTGCTCAACACTAGCCTTCCAAGAAAGCGCTAAACCTAAAACCCTAGACCCTAGACCCTTAAACCCCAAAACCCTAGACCCCTAAACCCTAGACCCCTAAACCCTAAAACCCTAGACCCCTAAACCCTAAAACCCCTAAATCCTCAAACCCTAGACCCCTAAACCCCTAAACCCAAAGCCCCTGAAGCCCCAAGCCCTAATCTGCCGAAGTCGCTGGTCATTGCTCCCCCACTGGCCGCCACCCGAGGAGTCACCCTGGTTCCAGTCCTGTTGGGGGCTTAGGGCATAGGGTATAAAGGGCTTAGAGGTTTCTGCTTAGGGCTTAGAGGGTTTAAAGGGTTTAGAGGTTAGGGTTTAGAGCTTAGGGGGTTTAGGGTTTGGGGCTAAGGGTTTAAAGGTTAGGGTTTAGGGTTTAGAGGTTAGGGTTTAGCCTTTAGAGGTTTAGAGGCTGAGGGTTTAGGGTTTAGAGGTTTAGGGTTTAGGGTTTACAGCGAACCCCAGAAAGCTGGAACATGAATCCAGGATGATTAGTGCTAGGATCCCTTATACTTTAACTTAAGGGCACCATAGGGTCCCTTATACTTTAACTTAAGGGTAACAGGAGACTGATGTTCCAACTTTCTGGCTTCCACTGGAGGGGCTTAAGGTTTAGGGGGTTAGGGCTTTGGGTTTAGGGGTCGAGGGTTTAAGCCTTTAGGGTCCAGATAAAACTCACCTAATAGGGACATGCAGGGGGTGTTGCTGCTAGTTGGGGTTATCCGGACCGCTCTGTTATAGGATGCGGGTTAGGGGCCTCCAGCTGTGTAAAAGTCCCTATAGAACCTGCCCTGGATTTCTTGATCACTGCCGCCATGCAAGCCTCACTCAACCTTTTCAACACATATGAATACCCTGAATAGTAGGATCCTCATTATAAGGACCCCAAAACAAGGTACCCCTTATTTTCAGAAACTCCCATGCAGGTTTGAGGTCAAGACCAGGGTTCGAAAATTGAGGGTCGAGGGCATCTGGATCAGCGCAGTAGGCGTTTCGGACGTGGGGGTAGAGTTGAGGTGTTGATATGTTCACGTCAGCAAATACCTCTGAGAATGGTCCTGCCTTGAACCAGGTAAGGTTCTGCGCCACACATGTGAGCTTTATTCTTCCAAACAGGCTATACAGTTCATTTAGACGTGGCCTTGCAAGCGACGACATCTGACAAAGCCCGTGGTGAAAAGGCTCATGCCTCAAAAACCTGGAGTGCTATCTTCCGTGTTCACCGATCTCTACCGCTCGCACAACAACCAACCCTGTCGGAAAACTGTACTTGCCAGTATTCAGCTCCATATTCTACAGAAACACACCATCCTGGCATCCTAAACTCACGGCACCCAAAACCCCATCAGCCCCTAACCCGAAGCCTCGATTCAGTACCGGGAACACAATCCTGACTGCCTGATTTTTTACCTCGAGTCGCCAATCATGAATCCCTAAATCCCTAAACCCCTTGTACACCGGAACTGGCCGAGTATGCTTTTTGCACTTGTTGAATATCCTAAACCTCTAAACCGCGAGCCTTAAAGTTGCCAAGATTCCTGCTTCTTCTGCCAGGACTGGTTCTGGTTGCCACCCTGGTCCCACTGGTCCTTCTTCCAGTCCTCTACATAAAAAGATCGAGCTGTCCGTAACTCTAAAGGAGTATGAATCTGTATGAATGTTTAGGGCTTATCCGTCTTGGGCTCTGTATTTGGAATCAAGGGCATTAGAGAAGAGAGAGTTGAAAACGAAGCCGCGCAGTGTTTGTGAATAGGTAGCTCTGCAAGAATCAGACAATGAGGGAAATAAACAGCAGCATGGCAAACTGGCACCTAGCATATGGGTAGTTCCCTAAATTAGGGTCCCTTTTTGGCCCCCAATATAGTACGGCACCCCTATATAGAGGACCCTAATTTAGAAAACTACCCATATGTTTCGTCATACTACCGGCTTTCGACACATGGGAAAGCAGGTGCAGCTACGACGAGGCGCAAGTGTAACCAGTTGCAAAGCAAGCCTTCTGGCCTCCAGGGCTTAGAGGAGTAGGGTTTAGGGTTTAAAGGCTGAAATCCTAGGTTTTCTGGCTTGCAAGGATCCCCAACAGCCCCTGAAGTCCCTGACAAACGTCGGTAGTCGTTGTCCTGACATCTGCTGCAAGTGTCGTTTATGCCACTAAAGTAGCCTTCTTTACCCAAGTTCTCCTGCAGCCAGGCATTCTCTACGACAGCATCGGATCCCAAAGAAGTCCTGCTGCTTTTGGCCTCCGCCGCCCCAGTCGTCTTTCTTGTCCCAGCTGTCCTAACGGTTTGGGCTGTAAGCTTTTGGCACCCTAAACCCTATCACACCTGGGCTGTGCATATGCCAGGAACCGAGGTGCGGACTGTGCTGTGGACACCCTAAACCCCAAACCCTAAACCCTTTTGCTGCAGGCTTGCCAGCAAGAACGCCTGGTAGTTAGCCACTCGTCCGCCAGCTAAAACTGTACTCGTGACAGTGCTTCCAGCTTCCGAGCATGCGACTGAGGAACTTGACTGAAAAGGCACACTAGTCCGAACTTGTCGTAAGCATGTTGGTGAATGCACACAGTTCCGGGTAATACGCCAGCACATGATCCGCCTGGAGGTATATGTCCAAAACAACTCCATCAAACTCGAACTGCAGCCAACAGAACCCTCAACCCTAAAGCCTGAACGCTTTTAGCCCGAGTGTGTGATGAGCCTGGGGCTTTCGGAGTTGGGGGGGGGGTATTTTGTAGTGCCTATGATCATAACAAGGACCCTCAAAATAGTATTGGTAGTTCTGGGGGAACCTATAATACCATCCTGAGGACCAAACCAACCCCAAATCGGTGGCCACTTGGGAGACTACCCATGGGGCTGTTAGAGACAGGAAATGTGCAAGTCGGCAGAGACGCAATAATTAACAGTGCTAATCAGAACTTCAGGAAGGCTTAGGGACCCATAGATGCAGCCATCACCGAGACATTCGAGAAAGAGGCACCGATGTCGTAACGCAGGCCCGCTGTGCGGCCAAACCAGAAGCGGAATCGCTCACCAGTTTGAATTTGGCAGATGATGAACACATCAGAAAACATACAGTAACGTACGCACGTGGCCCAACGAAGCGGAAAAAAGGTACGACACTTCGTGATACAGAACCAACTGCAAACGGTTACATAGTGTAGATCGAAGCCTGAATCACGCATTGAGCCTGTAGCATGCTCGTCAATGTTGAGTCAAATGTTTCGCTAACTATAGGGCTGGGAGAGACGACCAGTCAGCGCTAACGCTTCACAGCACCCGAAACTGCAGAGCGTGCAGATCCTGCCTTCTTCCCCCATTCCTGTTTCTGCTGGCCACCCCAATCGTCTTTGCTGCCACGTGCCTTCATGCAAACAGAATGCTGGTGAATCCCGACAGTCCGAACCCTGCTTGACGAGCATGGGATCATGGCTGGTTTAGGGTTTAAGGCGACGGGGACTGAAAACCAAGCCGTTGCACTCAATCCACCATGGTGCCTGGTTGTTCTTCCAATCGTCCTTCCCTCCGCTCTTCCAATCGTCCTTGCCTCCACTTTTCCAGTCGTCCTTTCCTCCGCTTTTCCAATCGTCCTTTCCACCATTCTTCCAATCGTCCTTTCCTCCATTTTTCCAATCGTCTTTTCCTCCACTTTTCCAATCATCTTTGCCACCGCTTTTCCAATCCTGCGCAGCAGGACTTCTGCGTGGTTCACCAGTTTACCATTCAGCGGCTCGTTCGGTTCATGTTCGAAGTCAGCATGTCTGCACCGTGCTCCAATGCTTTCGGGCACCGCCGGTGGGCATCAGCAAACACCTGCGGAACATGAAGCCTTCTTCTGGGCCTCTCTACACAAACTGCGGCTGATGGCATAAATCCTGCAGTACCCATAATAGGGAATGTACCATATAGTTCCCATAGTTTAGGATCACCCATAATAAGGAATATACCATAATTCCCATACTTTCTAGGGTCCTTAAGGTAATGCAGGATTTTTATCATCAGCAGTAGTTCAGGATACAAGTCCAAGTTTGAAGAGACTCATCGGTTAGCAAGACAAGACCTCGTGCATACTGTAGCGGCCTCAATAATTCGAACAGGGTTGTCTTCATGGTGGTTTCCTTTTCAGGGCTCCTTAAAGGGTTCCATAAGGGCTACTATCAGGGTTTAGGGTTTAGGGGCCTTATAATAATTAGAAAAAGGTTTTGGGGCCCATCATACTATAATCACAATAAGGAACCCCCCCCAAAAAATGCATTGTTTTTGTTTAGGCCATTACATTACCATGAGGTCTGAAGACACTCTAAACCATACGTTCAATCGTCATTTCCCTCGGCCATGTTGGTGGCTGAAACTCCTAGCTGTCGAGGTTCTTAGAGGAACTAACGGTTAACCCCTACCTCTTGGATGAAATAAGGGTGTAGAATAGAGTGAGGTAGAGCACCCTCCACAAATGCAAGAGCCCAGAGACTCCAATATCCCTTAATTAAGGAATACTCCTTAAATCATATTAAGGATCCTACTATAATTTAAGGAATATTCCTTAATTAAGGGATATTGGAGTCTCTGGGAGTTGCTTACTCCACAAGGTTGTACTGTTGTTCTTTACACTGGAGCTTTGCACGGGTATGCCTAATGACATGTCAGGTGCAAGCGGTGATTAGGAGTGTAGGACATGGGGCACGAGTGCGTAATAGTGCGTATATAGGTAGGGTCTGGGGCTTGGGGTGTGTTTGTGTATATACATATATAAATAAATAAATAAATAAATAAATAAATATATATATATATATACACACATACTTATCTATGTATTTAGGGTTTCGGGGCTTGTGCTTGATGGCATTATGCACTAAGGATACTGAGAAATGTACTGGTGCGCAGCAAGAAAACAACCAATGGAGGAGACGAGTAGAAAACTGAATAGCAACGCCCGGCAGGACGATGGAGCCAACCTGCGAACAAACAGCAGAAATACGAATTAGTTTCGACACCCTGAACCCTGCCCACAAAGCCGGCGCGCCATGCAAGAGCCAGTTACGGCTCGCCAAAAACAGACACGAAACCCTCACCGCCTAAACCCTACTAAGATGCCCTCAACAGATCTAAAGCTCCAAAACCTGAATCCCAAATTCTGGAGTCCTGTTTCTTGTTATCATTCCATCCGCCGGAATCTTTGGACCACTTGTCATCACTCCTGTGATGCAATAGCTCTTCGGGGCCACAAGGAACGGCATCGCGTGGCCTCTCCCTAAACCCTACGCCCTAAACGGTGGTCCAGTATTTTGTGTTTGCTTAGGGCTCAGGGTTTGTCCCTCGGACCGGCCGTTGCGCCGCTGAACACGACATATCGGGTTTCGGGGTCAACTGTCAGGCAAGGACACAACGTCTGTGGAGGAAGGCGGTTTATAGGGTTCAGTGTCTGGGGTTTGGGGCAGTGAAGCCTAATGCTTACAAACCCTAAACCCTAATCCCAGAAATCATGCTTCCGGGGCTGTGCGGCTCCAACCAATATGGTTTCAAGGTCTTGGATACTTGAAGCCTTCATGCAAGGCCCTCTATTTCGGGGGTTTAGGGCTTAGGGTATCTATTCCGAATGCAACGCGACGTGACTTACAAACCAACTGTACATCCTTCGAACATAGCTATACCTGCTTTCATATAATCGGGCTCCCAGCACAGCGTTGGCCTTGCAAGAATGCTACAAAAACACGGTAACAAGCAATCAACTCGCAAGTACCCGTAAATCTCGATCTGCCAGGCAACTGGTTCGAGTCCCATTTCTTTTTACCTCGGCTGCAAAGGTGTGCTGTAGGGTTTTCCAATAGGGTCCCCTTTAAGAGATACTATTAGGGTTCTAGAATGGGGTCCCCTTTAAGTGTACTATAAGGTTCTATCATAGCAGGCCCGAACCATAAACTGGGAGCTAGGATTAGGGGGACCCTTGGGGATATAGACCCTCTCAATAAGGTCCTTTTAAGAGAGCCAAAAGTAGGGTTCAGAAGGGGTACCCTTTAAGGGGTACCCCTAATCATACTACCTATAAACCCCAGAGGCCGGGGTGCCTGAGTTTCCGTTGTCCCAGGAGTTCGCCTGCGGCTCAGGGCTTCGTTTTGGTTCGCCTCTCGCCTGGCTGGGACTATGCCCGCCTTGCAAGGTCCTCAAGAGAGAAAGTATGAAGTTATTCAATACTAAACCCTAAACCCTAAACAAGAGAGAAAGTATGAAGTTATTCAATACTAAACCCTAAACCCTAAACCCTGAAACCTACACCCTAAACTCTAAACCCTAGTTATTCAAGCCCCATTTCGGCGCGCCTGTGGTTGGCGCGGGTTTTCGGCTTAGGGTTTTGTTGAGCTTGGGAATGGTGGGCTTTTGGCGGGCTCGAGGGTGTGTACGGATTTCCGCGTGCGATTTAAGGATTTCGGAAACCAGGGCTTAGGGTTTAGGGTTTAGGGTTTAGGGTTTAGGGTTGGGTTTAGGGTTTAGGGTTCTTAAGGATTTCGGAAACCAGGGCTATGGCAACTTTCGGATGAAGCGCTGCAGGGCCCAGAGCGAGGACCGACACGGAGAAGGTCGCCATGACCCTACAAAGTCCAAAGCCAAAACCCACGGTTTAGGGTTTAGGGTTTAGGGTTTAGGGTTGAGCTAAAGTCAATGGCACTGTAAATGTTCACCGAACTGGCCTTGCCTTTGCTAACGGCTAACGGGTTCAATGTAAGTCTCGTGTGAGTTGCCGTGAAAGCGAGCCGAACAACAACCCTCTGATCCTGCTTGGCGGCTTAACCTTGTTACACTTACCTGGGTCGTTATGCAAACTGTGGTTTCTGTTTAGGAAGCCAAAAGATCATGTAGAAGACTACGTTAGAGAACTACCCACTTCTCGAAAGGAATCGTCCGAGAAGTTTGGAGCGATACCAAAAGATCAGCCGGCCACTGGGCTTAGGGTTGAGAAAGGAAGACCCTAAACCCTAAACCCTGAAACCCTAAACCCGGAAGTGGCAGCCCCGTTGGTGCCTTGTTGTCCCAGTCGTTCTTCTTGTCCTTGTCCCAACCTCCTCCTCCTCCGCCTGCAGAGGGCTGCCCGAGCTATCGGGGTGTACAGTAGGGCCTTACGCAGAGACTTCAATATCCCTAAACTAAGGAATAGACCTTAAATCATATCCAGGATTCTACTATCATGTAAGGAATATTCCTTAAGTAAGGGATATTGGGGTCTCTGGGTAGCAAGTTTAGAGTACGTCTGACAGGGATTTGAGTTGAGTTTTCATCGGATGTTTTTGGCTTTGGGGGCCTGAGGGTTGAAGGCTACCGAAGGGTTTAGGGTTTAGGGTTTAGGGACCGAGCTTCCGTGCTTCATGCCGGTGCAGCTGGGTACTTAAAATAGGGGCCTTAATGATCAGAATAGGGTTTTTGGGCCCATAACAATACTATAAACATAAGCAGGAACGCCCAAAAACAGTATTGGTAATTATTTAGGCCCCTACACTACACTAGTTATCATCATGAGTTTGGATCAAGGATTCAAACTCTCGGCCTGATCCGCTCGCTCGAGCTTCCAGATGCTCGGGTTTAGGGTTTAGGGTTTGGGGGGATCCACATCGATACAAGCTTGCTGATGCGTCGTGGAGTTGTGTATATCCGTATTCAGCCTGTCTTTCTGCTTTTTCTGGCATGTACGTCTGTATGTGCATAAATTGTCTATCTCCAGCCTGTCTGTATCTATCTCTGCCTGACTCGTACCCGTACGCGCGTGTATAAGCTCACGCCTAAGAGAACCGAAGGAGTAGCGCAGTTGTATAAATTCTACACCTGTGGATAGACCTTTTTCCAGGATTGTTCAGGGTCTAGGGGATATGTTTCACCATACAGAACCCACCCTAACACCCGTGAACCTTCAAGCCCCTGCACTAGACACCACAATTCAGAGGCCGGCTTGCCGTACACCCTTAGACCTTTAGCCCCTTAACCCCACAGTAAACCCTAACCCTAAACCCTAAACCCTACGGTTTACGGTTTAGGGTTAACCCTTAAACCTACTAAGCCCTTTTCCATGGTTAGGAGCCCGGAACGTCTGCAAACCTAGAGCAGGAAGAAAAACTGAAGTCCTGCTTGAAGCTGATGGCTCGTCGGTTAGTTATGGATGGGCTCACTGGGCCTATAAACCGCATTGCAGTATGCGGGTGTCCAGTTGGAGGTATCAAATCAGCTTGGATGGAACTGGGTTTAGGATGTAGAGCTTAGAGACTAAGAAGAGACATGCAACCAACAACAGCTTTGCAGATGATGGGTTCTCTGTCAAGAAGGTGCCATGATTGAGAACAACCCTCCAACGCACAGAGCCCAATGCCCCCCGCTACGATGGGACAAAAACGTAAGCCGTATTTGGGGAAAGTCAACCTAATCTACAGACTATGCCATAATTACGGCATATTAGGCTCTTTGGGTACCGAAGATGCCCCCCGACTTCGAATCTCTAGGCCTGAGCCCTTGTCCCAGCTTTTGTCATTCCAATCGTTCCTTGGTTTATATAGTGTGTGGGGTGTAGGGTTGTGGTGACCGTGTTTGGGCTCGTAGGTGTTGGTTCCTCCTGACTAAGGCCCTACGTCTCACCAGTCGAAAGGGCGGCTTCCGCTGCCAATTCCAAAGCCACAAATTCAGTGATACACCCCGAACCCCCAATCGACGCAGTTTCACCGAAACACCCGAGCACCAAGCTCACAAAAAACTCGGTTGAACCCAAGCTGTTCCACGTGTCTTAACCGAATATACGCTTCGTGCGGGTTTTGCCGCAAGAACAAACATACACGGCTGATCTTTGCTTCCTGGGGTTAGATATACGGATTGGGGGGTGCAGTGCTTTGCGATGCCTGACAATGCTTTACAACTGCCACTGCAGAAACCTGTAGAACGTCATATTAAAAGCAAGCATCTTCTCCTCTTTGCCCCAAGATCCTGAGCAAGCAGACAAACGAAAAAGATCATCAATATGACTCAGAAAGCAAAGTATCCGTCAAAAGTGCAACCATGCTGAGAGTGCTTGATTGCATAAGAGTTGTACCCCTTTTCGGTTTGTGATTACATCCAATTCGCCACAAGCAACATCACCATCACAGTGATTATGACCATCATCATCCTCATCGGCATCCAGCGTCCCGTGGTTCTGTATGCATGCTCCTGCTTCCACTGCTGGTGCCGTGAAGCATGTTGCTGTTGCTGCTGGTGGCTGTGGCCGACCATGGTCTGCAGGCTTACTACCATCACCAAAGCCACGTTTTCAAATGTCGAAGGCCCAGATATCCAACAGCAGCCTGGGGCAAAAGGGTCTTGACCTTCTATCCCGTCAGGACAGGGCTCTGGAGCTAGCCTTGGTTATCAACTAGCGGTTTACCCTTGTAGCATCCTGGTCAATACACCGACTAAAGGGATGTTACTACCTCTACATCGGTAGCAATGATTGCCCAACAAAAAGTGAAATGCTCTACCTCCTGGCTGGCCAAGGCCTTATGAGACAACTGCATGGCGCAGCTGAAGACAATCACCATTTAGTCCTGCAAGGCCCTCTTGTTCGGAGCACTGTTCGACTTCCCCAATAAGCCAGGGAAAGAAAAGGTTAACCTTGCAGATTACTACTCAATTATAAGAACCCAAAAAGTTTAAAGGTTGGGTATTGGGGAACTAAGTAGAGCCCTGACCACTTGATGAATCCGGAAACACAGGTACACTCACCCGGGTCCTTTGTCGTTGGACCAATCATCCTTCTTCTTCCTGGCTGCATAAACGTAGCGGCCAAGAGCCACAAGAGTTCCGGGGTGCAAAAGTTGAGTCTTAAAGGCGTGCTCTACAATCCCAAACCAAGAGCATCTCGGGTCCACGGTTGAGGGGTTTAGGGATGTCTAGGGAAACGGTATCAGCGTCACCTGCAGTGGAAGCCATAAACCACGTGAAGCTCATGCGCCGCAGTATGTCAAGGCTTTGTGCAAAATTGAAGCCTACGCAGGCTATTCCTCACATGGGTGTCACGACGCACAATATTTTGAGCGCTGCCATATGAAGCCTGGTGCATATGAAAATAGGAAAGGGCGGCGACTTGGCAACAGACCCCGAATTGCCGAGAGCAAACCTCAAACAAACCCCGTAGAGTCTTCCCAGGCCGTACTGTTACCATTTCATGTAGACGCCTCAATAATTGCCAACATTCTTCTTAGGGTTCCGCATTAAAACTATACGATGAAAGAGCCCACAGCCCTGTTCTATTTACGAAGGAACCCTACGTTATATGAACCCTTCAACAGGGCTAAGAGGCTGGCCCTGCCCTAATGCAGGGGCCTTAATAATTAGAATAGGTTTTGGGATATATTATGCTACAATTCTACTCAGGAATCCGTAAACTAATGTAGGTGATATAGTATGCTACAATTCTAGTAAGGAACCCCTAAAATAACGTAGGTAATTATTTAGGCCCCTATCTTTTGTTCCTAAAATAATGTAGGTAATTATTGAGGCCCCTATATTATGTTGACTGCGGCACAAGCACTTGTTGTCCCAGCTCTGGTCCCCTTCGTCTTCCCATTTTCTCTTCTTGTCCTCAGGAAGGGGTTAAGTTAAGGGTTTAGTTTTTTGTATTTATGTGGCTTTTTTTATGTTTACCGGACCCAGGGTTTAGGGTTTAGAATATTTTCTCTTCTTGTCCTCAGGAAGGGGTTAGGGGTTCGAGCTCTTCACGGTTTAGGACTGTAGGGCTTCTGAGGGCTTCTGAGGGTTTCAAGGTTTCGGCTTTCTGTGTGGCTTTCGGTTTTAACGGGCTGTTAAGGCTGGGGCTGACGCTAAGGGGGGCTTGGAGCCCAGGGATTGTTGTTGCGTGTGTGTGGACTCTTCAGCGTCTAACCGCTGGAAGGGCGATTCCTTGGGGCAAGGGTACAAGGGTGAGGGCACGGGCCCAATGTTGATGTTATAAATCCTACATTACCTTAAGGACCCTAAACTATGGGAATTCTGGCATATTCCATATTGTTTGTAATGAAGGAATGACATCATCAACCGTCGGGCTTAGGGCTTAAGGGCTTATAGGGTTTAGAGATTCAAGGTTTACGAATGCGGGTCTCGGGTAAGCCAAACCCCAACCGATGCCAGTAATGTAGGGGCCTTAATAGTTCGAATAGGGTTTTGGGGCCCATTATACTATAATTAAAAAAAAAGGAAACCCAAAATAGTGTGGGGTAATTATTAAAGCCCCTATATTAACCCCAAAACCCAAACCCATGCCAGGCCAAAAGACGTCGTTCCAGCTCTCATTTTGATCGTCGCCCTGGTTCTCGTCTGCCTCCACGCACCCTAAACCCTAAACCCTATTTGGGTGGAAAAGGAGCTCAGGGTCCCAGGCTCTGATGTAAAGGGGCTGCAAAAACGAGTGGACAATCGTGATGATATTCCCTATAGGCCCACGTCCCTCCTTTGGTACTTAGCAAGGCTCCTGTAATCTGAGGCTGAGGTTCGCAGAATTGAAAAGCAAGAAGCCCTACACGCTGAAGCAAGACGCGCCCGAGAGCTAAAGGAGATCCTTTGACCGGTCCGCGCTTCCTTGGGATTCAGGTCTCAGGGTTTAGGGCAGGAGCCTTCTTCTTTAAACAAACCCTAAACCCTAAAACCCTAAAGCCCTAAAATCCGAAATCCAAAACCCTAAAACCCTAAAACCCAGAAAACCAAAAACCCAAAACCGTAAACTGAAGTCTCGGGCCTTAGTCTGAGCTTCAGGCTTGGGGCCTCGGTCTTTAGCTTGTTTAGGGTCGGTTTAGGGTTTAGGGTTTAGGGTTTAGGGTTTAGGATTTAAGGTGTAGAAAGGCTGAGGGCTAAGGGCTACTGGGGTTTAAGCTTTTTTTTGGTTTGGGGTTTAATTAGGGCTATTAGGGTGTAACCCTAAACCCTGAACCCTAAGCCGTGCCTAGGGCCTAGGGCTACTGGGGTTTAGGGCTTAGGGCTGTTAGGGTGAAACCCTAAACCCCTAAACCCCAAACCGTGCCAAGGTGGGCTCACCTATGCGCCGCAGAATCCAGGAAACCGAAAAGCTCCGCCGCCTGCCAAGACTCCTCTTCCGGTGGTGGCTCCACATCCTTGAGGCATCCGGACTTGCTGGTTAGCGTTTAGGGTTCAGGGTTTAGGGTTTATGTAAAACTGCCGGGCGTGCTTGGTAGGGGGGTTAACCCCTAAATCCGGAACCCCAGACCCTAAACACCTGCACCCTAGACCTTCTTCTAAGGATTCTACTAAGCGGCCCCGGACATTGGGTCTGGTTTTTCAGGGCTTCCGAAATTTCTCATGCTTCTTTAGCAGGTGGGCTTGGGTTTAGGGTTGATTCGGTCTAGGGTTCCTAATTTCTCCAAGTTCGTGTGTGGATGTGTACCGGCACAAGACTCAAGGCTAAGCCCATTCTCAATCATCCCCCCCAAGCCGTACCAACATAAAATACAACCTTACCCCTTATGAACCTTCAAACTCTCACCAGTGATAAGCAAGAGCTCAAGCCCTACCCGAGAGCCCCATGAACGCTAAATGCTGTATGAGCCCGCATAAAGCCCTACAAACCCCTGTTTAAAACAAAACCTATACCCTAAACCCTAAACCCGAAACCCTAAACCACCCTTTAAAAAAAAAACCCTGAAAATCCGCCGAAGCGGCTTGCAGCTCTTTCACCATCTCCATGGCAGAATGCCTTCGCTCGGCATCCCAACCTCGAGGCTGGGGTGCTATCTTGGGGTTTATAGAAGGTTCGTATTTAGGGGTTTAGGGTTTAGGGGTTTAGGGTCTAGGGTTTAAGGGGTGCTATCTTGGGGTTTATAGAA